CTCACCGCCTCCTCGGCCATAACTAGACCTACAGCTAGCTCCTGATTGGTCCGCTGTAGTTGTGGTGTGGAATAACATAGCGCAGACCACGCTTCAATACTGGGCATAAATCAAAGTTATCTGCAACCTACTGCTGCAGGAGGAGAACCAGCTGAATTTAGATGCCAAATTATCTTGTAGTCAAATGTAAAAACATCATAAAGTATTGATTGATTAAAGGGGCCACGCTAATAGCTGAGTTATCATTTAAATGGTGCAAACTGTCCCTATCAGACGTAAGGATCCAGATTCCACTAGAAATGCTGTGAGAGGACACTTTGGAGAGAAAAGGCAGCGGATGAAGCTACAAGCGTCTAAACCTCAGAATGATTCTGAAGCAGAAACCTTAAACTATAATTCTTTAACAGAATGTTGGTAAACTGAATTTCCTGACATAAACAGTTTTTATACAAGCAAGAAATAATTTCTGTGTAGGACAACTGATTGGTGAAATATTAGCCATGAGAAGATCTGAGATCAGATCCATTTTTTTTCTGTATTAATGTCTATTTATTGTTCTCTTAGACTCCAACTCCACAAAGGCTTCATTCAAGCAAAGAAAGAAATGGCGCCGCCTCTACGGGACACATGCCATCTCAGGAGCAGACTCAGGGGTTCCTTTCAGAGACCGACTCCCCGGTTATTGAGTATGAAACAGCCGTGTAACGTCGACCTGATCTCCCACAGGAGGCTGTGACCCCCCCACCCACCCACTGAAACTCAAAGCACTTGGACTGAAACCTAAAACTGCTGGATTTGCATTTCTCATGTTGTTCCAGGATGAGAGGTGTTGTTCAGGTTTGCACTTTAGAGCTGCAGCAGCTCCTGACTGATTTCTGTGATTTGCAGGAAACTCAGCGAACTTTCTGCAGAACTTAATGTTCTGTTTCCGTTTCAGTCTGCTGCTTGAATGTTTGAATCATTGGTCTTTAGAAGTGNATGCATTAATCTAGGCGTTAGCTGCAACTCTCTGTTCCTTTCTGTGCGACTGCATAGCCAGTTAAATTTATTACTGCCACCTAAAGGGCTGGAGGGAGAAATTAGTTTCTTACTCTTGTTAAATTTACTGTGAATAAAAATGTAATGCCTCTGCGATTTGACAATTGCTTTTTTCAAAATTGTGATTATTTTGCAAATGGAATTAATTGCCCAGCCCTACTCCTAAGACAGGTAATGCTTTACAATCAAAGCTGTCAGTTTCAAATAAACAACCCACGGACAAAAGGTTAAATAAAGATAGACTGTGGCTGTGTCCGAACTTCCGCCCTAAATCCCTCCATCACTATATAGTGGACTTTATAGTTAAAACCTCTTAACATCCCCCTCATTTGGAAGTAATCCTCGCCTATTTTGCATACACAAATGGAAAAGCAAATAACTTAGGAACTGTAAGCCCAGATTACATGTATGATTGAAAGCTAACACCTTCTAGCTTCTGAATTATAAATGAAAATTGGATGAAAAGCAGCCCAGGCTGCATCAGTTCAAAGATGAATCAGTTTTTTTTTTTATTATCAAAAATATATTTTTTGAACAGCAGTAATAAAGACATGCTTGAGAATAGGCATGTCTCATTGTATTATATTTGTTCTACATCATGTCAACCACAAATTCAGAACATTTCAGACCTCTAGCTACAACAGTTCCAGAGCTGTAGGGTTTTAAACTTCTAATCTCTTTAATTGTGCCAATGCATAATGTTTTTACTTATTTATTTGACCCATAGAGTAACATTAAAGCATATTGATGGCCACAAAACATTTATAAAGCAAGTATTTTCCACTTTTTTCAGAATGAATGTATATAACAAAATGTAACATTTATAAACCTAAAATAACACAAAAATCTATTTAAAAAAAAGAAGTGAAACTGCTGCTTTAATAAGCTCCAGTGCTTTTTCTGAGCTGTATTTTGTTTTTTGTTTTTTTTCCCTTCTAGTCAATGAGTCGATGCAATCAGCTGGTTTTCCTTAGATAGAAAACTTTGAATCAATCTGACTGGATGATCTGGTTGAATTGTAAAGTGACCTGAGGTGACATGATGTGAATTGGCGCTATAGAAATAAACTGAATTGNTTCTGACTTTTTTTCTCAGAATTCTGACTTTTTTTCTCAGAATTCTGACTTTTTTTCTCAGAATTCTGACTTTTTTTCTCAGAATTCTGACTTTTTTTCTCAGAATTCTGACTGAATTCTGACATTAAAAAAAGTCAGAGTTCTGAGAAAAAAAGTCAGAATTCTGAGTTCCTCTTCCGTAGTTTGTCTCTAAGATTTCGTAGTATTATATACATTACATGTCCCTACTCTTTTGAAGCTATGAAAAACTGACCACGGTGCTGATATTTCTTTTTCTCCAGGGTGCAGTGGCTGGTCTTGGTGCAGGTCTGGGCTTCGCTTTCTGGGTCGGCATCGGAAGCATCGTCACTCACAGCTCTGGAGCAAAACGCCTGCCGCCCAGCTGTCACGTCAACGCAACAACCGCCATTCAGACAGCTCTCACCAACGTAACAAGGTGGGTCTCCCGCCGTTAGCTGTGCTCGTTAATTCGTCCTGATCTCACCTCACAGCTAAATCGTATGTCTTTGTTGATCAGCCGACCCACAGGCCTGCAGAGGTTTTACTCTTTGTCCTACATGTGGTACAGCGCGTTCAACTGCCTAACCGTCATTCTTATCGGGCTGATCATCAGCTTCCTCACTGGTAAAGAACACCAGCACCAACATTTATGTATGCTTAATTAATGCACAGCGCTTTCCTTACACTCACCTTTTTGTATTGTTTTTTTAAAGGCCCAATGAAAGAAGAGGAGGCAACACCTGGAACTCTCTATCCCTTATTAGGAAAACTGCTTTGTTTTCTGCCTGAACATCTGAAAAAGAAGCTCTGCTGTGTGACTCCTCTGATACAGTCTGTAAGTAAAGTAAACGGCCACACTTTGGTTTCAAAACAAAGCACAAAAATACATTTATTAGAGAAAAAGCTCAGTAGTTCCTTGGTGCTTCAGCAGGATGTTGGTGTTCAAGTTAAAAGCTGGTTGCAGCTAATTAAAATGGTTTATTTGATCTCCAGCTTCTTGCTGCTAGTTTGCTTTTTTTATGATATTTCTTAAAAACAACTCCCTATATGGAAAGAGATGAGAATGATCAGTGTTACTAAAGTGACGCTTATATGTTACTTCCAAGCACTAACAGGTCAAACTACATTTTTGTAAAATTATTACTGCTCCTACGAAGGGCTGAATGATTCAAAATTGCAATTATTTTCAACCAATATTGCAATTTTTATGGTGATTTTCCTTTGCACTAAGCACAAGCATGTCGTA